TTTTTTTTAAAATGAAAACGTATATAGCATGATAGTGTTACACTGGATAATGTTTTGCTGTATTCTTCCTTACCATGCAGATTTCTTTTACGGTTAAGATTTATAAAATAAATTATCGATACTAGTTTACAAGATAAAAGTGAATCAATTGCTATTTTAATTATGTCTAGTGTTTTAATTTAAAACCTGTTTTGTGTTACTTAAGTATTTTGAGCGGTTATTTTCTATTTAACTAATTTTCGATAACGATATATATTCGATAACGAACTTATTCATAACGAGCTTATTATCGGGATTTAGTGACTTCGTTAAACAGAGGTCCGACTGAGAAAAATGCTTATTTTGTATATTCTAGAGTGGGGCGGGAGCAGCCAAAAATGTGCAAACAAACGAGATATTGTTTCTGATGTGTGTTTTTTCATGCTGAATCGAATGAAATAAATCATGTTCGATAAATGATATATTGTGTACAAAGCGCAAGAAATAAACAGGCCACCCTAAATAAGTTTTGATCTAATGATCGAATCTTTACGATCAAGGATTCAATTTTTATGGTTCAAGGGGGTGACTTCAAATATGATAATTAATTAGCGCAAAAGATATTTTAAGTTACAAAATAAAATACGAAAACGTACTTTAAACATACTTTTTTTTCCAATGGATTCTGATTTTTTACCCTCAAAATATGGGGGGTGACTACATTCTGGGATATATGTTCTCAATAGTTTGGTCAGGAGAGCATTCCAAAGTTTAAGCCCATAATATTAATTTTACATTTTGCGTATTTCACCATACCTCGAGAGTATTTTAAACACATTTAAAAAATTTGGCTCACAATTATAAAATTTGTTTATCAAAAGATAATTTACATGTAAAATATAGCTATTAGTACCTGTTTATTATTTTACCACTTTTATATAAACTTGCCTTCGTGTATGTCGGTCCGGGTGGAATTTTGTAATCGATTTTAAACTAACTTCCCGACTCGCTACAAACTTCAAATTTGGCACATAGTTCAGAATTGGATGACAATGCATGAAAATGAAGAGAAAAAAGACATACTAAGTAAAATAAAATTAAAATTTAAAAAAAAAATTATTTTCGAGATTGTCTTTTGTTGTCGATTCCATTATTTCAAATTAGTATTACATGTCAGGTGAAAAGATTTTTATTGTCGGAGTATTTTTATTGGCTGAAAAATCACGTGGTAGGATCCAGTTTTTCCTCATTCATTTCCAGATTGTTTTGGTTGTCATCAGCATAAAACTAATGAAAGTCGTAAAGGTATTGTTTTTCTATAAAGATTTTTGTATCCCTAATTTAAAATGAAAGTTCTATTATTTTAGTAGTGGTCTTGTAGTAGTCTTGACTACTCTTGACTAAGAAAAATAATCTAAATAAAAATATATATTTTTAAAAACCACGTTTTTTGTAGTGAAGAATAATAATTGAAAAGTAATAATTTTTAAAAAATATAAAATAAAAATTAAAAAAATTATAATTTAAAATAAAAAAATTCAAAATAAAAAATAATATTTTTAAAAACCACGTTTTTGTAGTGGAGAATAATAATTAAAAAAAAATTGAAAAACGAAAAACGTGGGGCGCATGAAATACATAACAGTACATATACACATACATATACACATTTTCTTACTCATACACATGCACAGCCACATATACATATGCATATACACAAACATATTCCACATCCACATTCAGATACAATTACAGATATACCATCTAATAGCGCCCCAGAGAAATAGAATTTTAAAATTATTACTTTTTCAAAATACATACTCTTAAAATCTTTGCGACCAATTATTACGTAAAAATTTGTACATCTAACAATTCAAAATTCACAAAAATAACAATAAAGAAATAATAAATATTTACTAAAAGTTATATTTTGCATCGAACTATATTTGGATATACGAATTTTACCGTTGTGTGCAAGTTCTTTTCAATTCGTTTGAAAAGAAATCGATATCGTGAAATACGCAATAAGTAATACTAACATTGAGGGGTCTAAACTTTGAACTGCTTTCCTGGCCAAATTATTGGGCTACCCCCTGAACTTAGGGGGTTAGAAATCCGAATCTGTCCCAAATATTTTTATTCAGAGAAAGTACGTAAGGTGTATTTATCACGTTTCTGTTCTTTCCTTTCTTCACCTTTCTATTATTTTTCTGTTTCTTCCGGCAATCAAACAGGTTTTGGTGTTTTTAGTCTCACCAATGATTCGTTAGATTTTGATAACATTTTTTTTTTTACCTTTCAAATATTAGTTTGTGACTCTTAGTGGGAATGACTTTATTTTTGGCAAAGTTTTAAAAAATGCTTATTTCAAAAGCCATTTCTGACGACAAAGTATTTTAATCACGAATACAAATATATCAGAACCATATATTAGGGCTTAAATCATGGCTAATTTCTTAAATTTTCTTTTGCCGTTAGTCAGTATTTTTGTTTCAACATAGACATTATTTAATATTTATATCAACTAAAGGCAGCAAGCCAATCACAGCACAGTATCTCTATTGGTTAGAACGTTGTGCTAAAAACGCGAAAGTCGTAAGTTCGATCTCCCTATGTCAGTGATACAATTACAAACAGTGCCAGATTACCCATTAGGCCAGATTAGGCCATGGCCTAGTCTGGCCCAATGGCCCCAATGAATAGGGGCCCCTTAAAACGGATTTTTTGAAAATAAATTTTAAAAAATTAAGAAAAACAATGATTTTTTTAAAAAAAAAGTCAATTTCAAATATATATTAAAAGAATACGATAATTTTTTTACATAGTCTTAATCATATTTATTTATTACTTATTTTAGTCATTATTTATAAGTATTATTATAGTTTATGTATTACAAGATTTATCAATGCTTTTTTAAGTTGACTGCTCTTCGCATTTTTCTAACTCTTACGATAACAAATTGTTCTACGGAGCGCTCGTTTCCAAAAATGAAACGAAGCAAACGAGCAAAGAAGCGTCATGTTTCAAAAACGATTAGACATGCTAAGTTTGATGTTATCGAATCAGATGTTCTTCGTGAAATTAATTTTGATTACATTATAGATGAGTTTATTGATCGCAAGAGCAGAAAAAAAGAAGATTTTTGAATACCAATTTTATTGTAGCGTTGGTTTTGTAAAGTGTCAATAAATTTCAAAATGTTATGATTATTTTTTAGTTCTAATTTTACAAAATGAAGTGAAATTTAATTTATTTTAATTTTAAATATGCAAATAAATTAATATTTTAATATTAATTTATTTTTATCTTAAATGAAAATATATATAAACACTTTAACATTTGAATAAATAAAAAATAAACGAGAAAAAAACTTAATCTTAAACTTAAAAACTTAAGGCCCCAAAAATTTGAATAGCCTAGGGCCCCACGTACGCTTAATCCGGCACTGATTGCAAACATAATCTACAATTTTTGACTTGTTCGTTTTTGTTGTTCACCTATGCGTTTGAATATTTTGCTGGTGCATGAGTTGTTTGGATATTTTGCCGATAACTTAAACAACTAATATTAATAATTATGATCAGCACATTTCAATTATACGATGCATAATTATGATAAGCTTGCTCTTCTTTCTAGATATACCGAATGCAAAAACATTTGACCTCAAATCAAGGTTTACGGTCAATACCAAATTTTCGAAGATGATAAATATATATATATACATATATATATATNTATATATATATTTAAAAGACTCAACGAGTCTTAAGACGAAAAAGTATATAATAAAATAATTTCGTGAATGATTTTTTAAAAAAAAAACTGTTCTGTGGATTCACACGAAAAAGTAAGAAGTCAAATATTGGGTGAAACTTAAAACAATCCAGTTTAAATTGTCTCAATTCATTTTCGAGACATTATGTTACATTAAGTTCATCTTAAAATGTGTTGCAAGAATTTCTTATAAAAATTTTTTTTAAAGAAGCCACCTCTGAAAAGTTGGCGTTTTCGAATAGCACAGTAGTAACATAAAATAAACCACTCACTTTCCTTGTAATTTTTAAAAAAAAATTTAGAAGAAATTCTTGCAATATATTTTAATGGAGCCGCGATGGCTCGTTCGCCTTCCAATGAGAGAAACCGGGTTCGAATCCCAGTCGATACGAATTCCGCATCCGGCTTGCACCGACCACCGTGCTGACGTGAAATATCCTCAGTGGTAGACGGATCATGGATTAGAGTTCCCTTGCCGTCAGGCTGACCGTGGGAGGTTCTCGTGGTCTTCCTCTCCATGTAACGCAAATGCTGGTTAGCTCCATCAAAAAGTCCTCCATGAAAGCAAATTTCTCCCAATACTCGATCCAGAAGTTCCCTTGTCTTCTGGATTGGGTTCAAAATTACAAGGCTACGGAGTTGAACATTAGTAGCCCGTAAACCCAATAAATTGGGTCAGCTGTTCAACGACGGTTATAAAATAAAATATATTTTAAGGTGAACTTTATGAAGAATAAACACAATATCTGGAAAATTAACTGAAACAAGATCAACTCGATTCTTAGAAGTTACGTCACGCACTTTATTTCTTGTTTTTTCGCGCAAAACAGTAGAATTCTTTTATTTTTTTTAAATTATGTTGTTTTTCAACTAAAGTTAATAGAAAGAAACACCACTTTTCAGTCATTGGAATTTCCATTAAATCGTTCGTTAAAGGTTTTTTTTTTTTTTTTTTTTTGTAGTTTTCCGAAATTTTATTTGTATGCTAAATGAATCACGTGTACTGAATTGTATTTTTAATAGATAAATAGAGAATGATCCGAAGATTCTGCCAACTGCAATTAAACATTCGAAAACTATTCAAGCCTAACTTAGCTAGCGGTACAGATTTATGAGTGCTTTCCAAAAAGTTTTCCCGCTACATCAGTCACTGAAGGTACAGGTAAAGTGCGAGAGTTCCAAAACTCCCAAAAAAGAACTGTAAAAGATCTTTCTCCGCTGTGCTTCTACGTTTGGCGAATTGCTTTGGCGACTTTAGTACTTGATCACTGTGCAACCCTCCGATTGTCACTCACTGAGACAGGGACGATTTTATCCCATGTAAGAATCGAATTTGATAGACTTGGCAGCTGTTTTGAGAACTTAAGTCTCGATAGTATACAATAATTTGTAAAGCATGCTCGTTTGAAAAAGGACTGTTGCCAACACCTGCTTGGAAATTATTTCATTTTCTGATTTGAAATTCCGAAACTTTTTTGGGTGAGTTATTTATTGTTTAACTGATTTCAAATCGTATTTGCAATACATTTCGAAAGTTCGGCAATAGTTAAGAATAGTAATTTTATTAAAGAATTATAAAAATGATTCATGACTTTATACAATGAATGTTTATTTAGATTTTCCTTAAAAATCTTACAATTTTTTTTAAGTGAATTATAATTTTTTTTTCTTGACTTTCATATAAAGTTCTTTATGGATGTACTAACTTATGTCATGCTATTTTTCCTTTACTATTTTTGATAATTACTATTCTCATAAGTATTTTCACTGAGAAATATACTAAAATTAGCGTTCAAATTTTATATTATTCAAAACTTGTTTTAATAAACACTATTTCAATTGAAAAACGATTGTTAAAAGTTTAGAAAAAGAACATGATTTATTAAGCAAACGATATTTTATAAAAATGGCGCTTTTTCGTATCTTTGTCCGAATGATCAATTTGAAAATTTTATCACTAAATCAAATAAAATATATTCCGATTTTCGGATTACAGGAAATGTGTACAAATTTTGAAAACTAATTATAAACATAATTCTCAATTTTTCATAAATTGTTAAAAAGTGTTATGCCTAATCTTTGACCTAACATTAGGGAATTATACTAAAATTCAAAATTAAATAAATAGAATTTTTGAACTGTCTTTTTCAGTGTTTTTTCTTTAAATCTTTTGATTCTTATAAAAGAAGTTTTAAGAAATATTTTCTCTCAGATTTTCATTTTTGGTATAATAGAGTAATAAAATTAGCATTAGAAAATTTAGGAATAATTTAATTATAAACGGGAAAAATAAAATGCACTCTTTAGCTTATTAATTAGCAATACGATTACCATTTAAAAGATTTTTCTTCAAAAATAATCCGAAATTTTTTTAACAAATATTTAAAAGAAACTTTATAAATATCTATGAAACTTCAATTTCTTTTTCAAAAGTAACTTATTTCGCATAATATTTATTCTGTTTTCTTTTACTTTTGTTTTATAATTTTATCCTTTGGATAACAAATTAGGAAAGAAAAATCTAAAAATTTTTTCCTATAAATCCTCTTAACAGAGAAATTATAGACGAGTTTAACGGAGCTAAGCTATTTAAAGACGTATGCAACTGATTCTGGTTTATTTACATAATTATCTGTGATTATAATTCGTAATCCAGATTGTTATTTATCAGGTTTATAAATCATTAAGTTACGCAATTTAATCTTTCTCAACGAAAATTTTAAAAGCTGCTGTTTAATATTGAATCCTGTTTATTTCAATTTATTTATTTATTTTCTGTTAAAAATCTCCTGATTTTTACCAAACGTTTTATTTCATTATTCAACGCTTTTTTGATTTACTTGAAGGTTTAACAATTTGAATATTAATAATGTAAGTTTTCAAAGTACGTGGTTTTTTACTATATTTTTAACTAATCCATAGTTAATTCTTGACTTTTAAGACTTTCTTTCGTTTAATATGCCACTATTTGCTTAATGTGTTAATAGAAACTTAAATGTGGCGCCATTTGCACTTAATATATAAAACTTAGCGCAATCAATATAGTGATACACATACTTTTTACCGAAGGTATTTGTTACATCAAACTGTTTCTTAATAGTGTTTTCATGTAGATACTTTAAAAGTTTCTGAAATGTTTACTAGATAACAGATATATACACAGAAAAGCCTCGCTGCCTGTATGGAAATCTTGGTGGTTTTTATTTTACCAAAAACATACTTTTTAACGAATTGAAGTATGGTTTACTTGTTTGAAGCTCTTCATATCATATAGGAGTAAATGAGTCTGTGACTATAAAAAATGCTGTTTTGAGTAAACTGCCATTTTAAATTTGGAGATGCTATTTCATTCATTTTGCATATTAAATAGGCTTCACCTTCTTTTTTTTCATCATTTATAAAAAATTGGGCACCTGGACCGCGCAGAAGGCCCATATCCTATACATCATGAAATAGAATGAAAAGTTAAAGTAAAAGACAGTTTTAGTTCAGCAATCTATGGGATGGCTGGCTTCACCTTCTTATAGTGAGTTGTATCCTTCTAGTAAGTACCCGTTTTATAGTAAGTGGTAAAAAGATGGATGACGTCAGATGTCTGGTTTAACGGGAGGCGGGAAGGAGGAAAATTAAGGAATAGGATTTAGATGTCCCTATTTAAACAAATAATGTGTTATATAATTTTTAATATAGCTTTCTTACGCTGAGTCGAAATATATTAATTCCGCGAAGATTGGACTAATATCTTAAAATTTAAAAGTGTTTTCTTTACAGAAAGTAAAATCTTGTACGTCTGTATATGAATTTGCTATCTGGACAAATGAAGTATTATTTCCTAAATATCCCCCCCCCCTCCGAATCTGAGGAGACCAAACTCGATTCCATGGGACTTCGACGTATAGATAAAAGGGTTTTTTTTCTTGTACTTAGATACGCATCTAATATTCCTATCTATAAACGCAAAGTACTTTTTTCCTGATGTTTTATATTCTGAATGAGATGCCGGAATCTATAAAATAAGTAGCTAAAGGGCTTCAGTACAAAGAGTTCTTTTCATAACTAGTCAGAAAGTTCTTTTTATGCACAAACATTCTTTCAACTTTTGAAGTTTTAATCCTATTGACTTGTTTTAACCATGAAAACTGCATAAATGTGTATGAAATGATACCTCACTTGTCTATATAGCAATGTATAGCGTAAAAACCGTCCAATTGTTAAAAAAATACGATCATTTAGCTTAAAAATACATTAAACAGTATATCATTTGACTATATTTAAACTGGATTGCAATATAAAATGGGTAAATAAATACAGGCCTAAAATTGTATATTTTATTTCTTAAAATCCTTGCCACATGTAAACTAAAAGTTTTATTAACTATTGTTGGGTCTCATTTGATTTGGCGTAAAAAATATATTGGAAGGGATGCATCACGTACAATGTTAAAGCATAAATATGTACAAATTCAAAGTTGTCAAGTTTTAATACATTTTAACTTTGCTTCATTATAAGTTTCATGCAAAGTGTTTTTTTTTTTTTGGCATTTTTGGGAGTTACAATACAGTTACAGTATTTTAATGGTTTTGGTTTCTTCAAAATTAGAGAAAAATTTAATTTTCTGAACTTTTACAGTGTCATTTCATATTTTTTGCACGTAAAATACATTTTTTGTACCATTTTTACAATTCCAATCTTATGCTTCCATAACCTCGTGCTTGTTTTCATTCAGCGTAGAAAATTCATAAGAAGTAAAAAATTGCAGTTCCGCAGTGGACTGATCGTTAAGACTCGGTTCCCAGTAGATCACCGAAGTCAAGCATCACTGGCTACGGTCAGTGTGCGGGTGGGTTACCACTTGGATCAGTCTGCGTAGGGACCGAGGGTGAGCGGTATTGGTCCTCGTTAAACTGTGCTACCGTAAAGTGCTCGACTTCGCGCGCTGGTCGTCGGGCTACCGAAGCAGGGGTGCCATTCCCTCTGTAGAGGATCAAAATTGTGATGGCATGTCTTCGGGTCATCCTCCGGGATGTTTCCCAGACCGTNAATCCATACTTAATTCTTAACTTTTAAAACTTTATTTCGTTTATTTGCTTAAAATGTGTTAATAGAAACCTAAATGTAGCACTAATAATATGTAAGACTTAGTACAATCAATATAGTGATACACATACCTTTACCAAAGGTATTTGTTTCATCAAACTGTTCCTTAATAGTGTTTTCATATAGATACTTTAAAAGCTTCTGAAATTTTTACTAGATAATAGAATTATACGCAGAAATAACTCGCCGCCTGCGTGGAAATCTTTGTGGTTTTTATTTTACCAAAAACATACTTTTTAACGAATTGAAGTATGGTTTACTTGTTCAAAGCTCTTCATATCAATCATATGGGAGTAAATAAGTCTTTGACTATTGTTGTTTTGTTTTGATGTTGTTTTGAAAAAACTGCCATTTTAAATTGAGATGCTTTTTCATTCGTTTCGCATAATAAATCGGGTTTACCCTTCTTAAGTTGAACCCTTCTGAAAAATACCCATTTTATAGCAAGTGGTAAAAAGTTGGATGACATCACGCATCTGGCTTAACGGGAGGCGGGAAGGAGGAAAATTGAGGAATAGATTGAGATGTTCCTATTTAACCCCTTCCTTCTCGCTCCCGTGAAAATGACGGGGTGAGGTTTCGCCCTCTATTTCCCGCTCCCGTGATATTTCCGGGCTGGAGTGTTCAGTCGTAACGCACCAATAAGAATAAAACTAAATCATTTATTTTGCCCGGAAAAAATTTTATTTCTCATTTTACACCAGGATATTTTAAGATAATTGTAGATAGTTAGTTTATTTTAAACAAGATGTCAGCGCTAATCAAATGCGTATATTTGGCAAAATAGGCACTTTTATGACCGTTTTCTTGAAAATTAACCAATCGTTAATTGGATGCCGTCCAATTGTTAAAAAAATACACATATTTATTTAAAAAATACATAAAACAATATATCATTTGACTAGATTTAAACTAGACTGCAATATAGAACGGGTAAAGAAATACAGGCCTAAAATTTTAAATTTTATTTCTTATAATCCTTGCCACATATAAACTAAAAGTTTTATTAACTATTGTTTGGTCTCATTCGATTTGGTGTAAAAAATATATTGGAAGGGATGCATCACGTACCTAGTAAATGTTAAAGCATGAATATGTTGTACATATACAAAATTGTCAAGTTTTAACAAATTTTAACTTTGCTTTATTATAAGTTGCATGCAAAGTGTTCTTTTTTGGTATTTTTGGGAATTACAATACAGTTACAGAATTTTAATGGTTTTAGTTTCTTCAAAATTAGAGAAAAATTTAATTTTCTGAAATTTTACAGTGTCATTTCATATTTTTTGCACGTAAAATAAAATTTTTGTACCATTTTTACAATTCCAATCTTATGTTTCCATAACCTCGTGCTTGTTTTCATTCAGCGTAGAAAATTCATA